AAAACTCAAATGGATGAGGAGTTGCCTCTTATGGATAAGCAAAGAGAGTGGTTTCTTGAGATAGAATCTACTCCTGGTGAAGTTGTGAACATTGTTGAAATGCCAACAAAGGATTTAGAATGTTACATAAACTTACTCAATAAAGCAGTGGCAGATTTGATAGGTTTGATTGCGATTTTGAAAGAAGTTCTACTGTGGGTAAAATGCTATCAAACAGCAATTGCATGCTACAGAGAAATCTTTCCTGAAAAGAAGAGTTGATCCATGTGGCAAACTTAATTGTCTTATTTTAGAGAGACTGTCACAGCCACACCGTCAGCCTGGTACAGCTGCCATCAACATTGAGGCAAGACCCTCCACCAGCAAAAAGATTATGAGTTGCTGATGTCTCAGATGATCATTATCCATTTTTAGCAAAAAAGTATTATTTAATTAAGGTATGGACTTTTTTTTTTTTAGACATAATGCTGCTACAGTATAGTACGAACATAACTTTTATATGTACTGGGAAAACGAAATTGTGTGACTTGCTTTATTGCAATACTCATTTTATTGCAGTGGTCTGGAACTGAACCTGCAGTATCTCCAAGGTAAGCTTGTACTGTGGAAAATATTTGTGCCACCACTTTATCTCACAGATATTTCTGTTATTGCACTTAACATATTGTACTTGTATTTCCTCAAGTAAACAAAAAATTCTCTGAGGGCAGGTACCTAACCTAGCTTTATCTTTCCATCTTTGGAATTTAATATAGTTCCTGACATAATCATTGTTAAATGGGTCTAATGTTTTTCTTTTCCTTTAAAGGAATTTGGATACCTTCGTCATAGAAAAGGCCCTTTTCTTCATCCGTTGATGTTTGATAGTGGGCTGGGAAGGAAAGCTGTGGTCCTCCACATTAGTCAGCAAATACTTGATTGATTTGGTATTTAGCTTAGTCAAGTAAGTTACTGGTATGTTCAAAAGGACTTTTCTAAAGAGTTAACATATGTCGATAAAAAATAATTAGAAATTTAATCCTAAAGAACTCTTAATGATATTATTAAAATTAATTTTAAGACTGGTTTCTTTATTGCAGATATAAATATTTGGCCATTTTTCTAATAGCTTGGTTAAAAATCGATAGTAATTAAGTTCTCTTAAAAAATAAACTATAAATTGTCTTGGAAAATATAGCTATAACATTTAAAATTTTTCATTTAATATGTTTTTTCAAGTAGGTTATACATTCACATGGTACAAAATTCAGAAATCACAAAAGTCATACAGTTAAGTCTCCTTGCCAGGGAAGCAAATCTCACTTCCTGATTCTAGTCATCTAGTTGATATCCTCAGAAGAAAGCTAAAGGAAATCTTTTAATGTGATTATTTTCTTTCTAATTTTAACAGATTAAAGATCTCAAACAGACAAATCATGGCTTGGAAGAATATGTTAGGAAACTCTTGGATAGTAAGGATGTAGTAAGCAGTCAAATAGACGATTTAACCAGCCACAATGAGCATCTTTGTAAAGAATTGATTAAAATTGACCAACTAGCAGAGCAACTAGAAAAAGAGAAAAATTTTGTGGTGGATACCGCCAACAAGGAACTTGAAGAAGCAAAGGTACTAGATTTACCACTGATCAGGATTTTAATTGTACTTTAAACATCATGTAATTATTAAATGCAATGGAAGAAGTGACATTCTCATTTATAGGAAGCTTTTTCAATTTACATTATATTTAAATGTCTACTCTGAAGATTAAATTATTTCTCACATTTTATTTCTTTTAAAAGATTTTTCTCAAAAGATTTCCTAAGTAATAGGTAGTCATTGTAAAAACTTCAAAACAACAGAAATGTTCTTTAGCTAGAAGGCTACTATTCCTCCCCAGTTCCTCTCTCCTTGGCAGAGACATCTGCAAACAAATAGATATGTTTATTTCTATTTGTCTGTTTTCACACAATTTATTTCACATTTAAAAGGTTTTTTTTACCCCAAATTTAAATTTTTATGTAGTTAAATTTGCCAATCCTTTGTTTACTGACTTCTGAGTTTTGATTCTTATTTAGGAAGGACTTATGACCTCAAGAACTACAAAATATTTTCTAAAGATTTCTTTTTTTAAAAAAAAAAAAAAAAAAAAAGATCACCAGTAAGGGGATCTAACCCTTGACTTCGTGTTGTCAGCACCACACTCACCTGATGAGCTAACCGGCCATCCCTATATGGGATCCAAACCCGGGGCCTTGGTGTTATCAGCACCGCACTCTCCCGAGTGAGCCACAGGCCGGCCCTAAAGATTTCTTTTAATAGTCTTTAATGGTTTTCTTTTAATTTTAAATACTTCTGGAATTTCTTTTTGTTCTAGTATGAGGTAGGGTTGACTAATCCTTTATTTCTTCACTGATTTGAAATACCGT